GAACTGTTGTTTACTTTTATTACAGTTATTTATATAAAATGCTTACAACTCTAGTTTTGGAAGAAAACAAAATTTTAGTAAGTTAAAAACATTTTTTTTTTAATTATAATCTATGTTGTTAATGTAAACTAACATAACAGCCTTTTTCTAAATGCACTTTGGCGCGTTTAACATTTTTTGTCTGTCGTTCTGTTTGTTCCGGATAATTTTAGAAACGGCTGGACTAACTTTGAAGGGGCTTTCACTGGCAGATAGCTAATGTTATAAGGAATAACTTAGGCTACGTTTATTTTAGAAAAAGAATTAGGATTCCACTCAAAAAACTTAAAATGTACCTAGGGACGTGAGTCGCTAGTTAGAGATAAAAATAAATGCCGGTAGCTTAAATGATAGAGCATATAACCAGCATTTTTTTTGATTATCTCTATAATTCTTTATACATATTTGGTACCCTAAATATAGTAAAACTTAGAAATAGTATAGAACAAATACATTTAAATATATCTATTTAATATTACAGACATTACGCTTTCTTCGATAGTGCTCGCATATTTACTTCTCGCTTACGTAAGTATTACGTAACAGATTATGAACATTAATGCCGCCCTCGGACATTCTCATGGCAGCCCGGTCGCCCATGTCAACCTCTTTAAAAAGTCGGTAACTTTTCTATGACACTGAGGTAGTTATTTTGTATACAGTAACGATGCTAAATAGAGTTACCTAATATGCTATATTAACAAACTACTTTTAAAAATAAATCTTTATTTATTATTTTCGGATTTTGTCGCGAATTTATTTTGATTTTTGGTTCCTAACGTTTTAAATACTTCACAGCAATCATTTGAATCAGTTGAATCTGTACATTAAATATTTTTGGGAAAATCTTATTGGAATAGTCATTATTATATATCGGTACAAAGTCCGAATCTATAGATTTTAGATTTTGTCTGTTTGTCTGTCTGTCTGTGACCGCATCGAGAAAACCACTGGACAGATTTTAATGAAATTTTGTATGCTGGTAGCCGGTTATCCAGGTCAATATATACTTAAGATACTTTTTACTGCGGGAAAATATATCATCTTTGAGAAATCTATACTAAACGTTAAAACATAACAACAACAATAAAGATTAATAAAAATGACCTAGTTATCATTATATTATATAGAGGAACTAGTATTGCCCGCGGCTCCGCCCGCGTTCAGATAACCAAAAACCAAATTCTTAGGTTTTACATATAAGTATACTCTTACAATGCAGTTTTTGTATTTATTCTCAGAAATGAGATATTTTCCCGCGGTAAAAAGTATCATATATGTTGACCCGGATAACCAGCTATCACCATACCAAATTTCATCAAAATCCCTCCAATGGTTTTTCTGTGATGCGGTAACAGACAGACAGACAGACAAAAATTCTAAAAACTATAGATTCGGTCTCTGTATCGATAATAATGTTTGTTTCAATAAGATTTTCCAAAAAATATTTAATGTACTTATTCGGCTTAGTTACTATTTTATTATTTGTATAGATTAATATAATACATTCACAATAATAAAACGTAAAAATTGACTCTTGAAGATTGTTGCCGACTATGAGTGCATTCTGACATGATATACTTGATTTGCATTGAATTGTTCAATGAGCAACAATGCTGCTATGAGCAAAGATAACATATATGTTAATCTATACAAGTGAACTTGGCATATATATTTTTTCTGTTGTAAATAATAATATAGAACCTAATAAAGCTTATATTATTATATTAAAATAATATACCAAAATACAATCAAAAAGTTCAAAAAATTATAAGGCAATCAAACACTAGAAAGGTAAAATTACGTGGAATTTAAATTTCAAGTCAAATTTAATAATCAATTTATTAATAATTTTATTTATTTTTAAATTTTTGTTGGTTAATTATTACTTAATAATTAATAATTATTATTTACAAATTTTACTTCAGTCTATATATTTTTTTCGCTTGCTGTGGCTTACTAAGCAGACTATTTAGATATTTATTTCATTATTGATAATTGATCCTCATAGTTCTTATTTCACCTCAGATTTAAATAGTTTTTACCAGTTAATGATTTGTTACTCAGTAATAATGAATGAATCCACGATTAACATGACAATTTACATGTTTATTCTATATCTAGACTATTTTCTACCTTCTAGTTTGCTAGCGTGAAATTTATTTACCATTTTGAACAATCCATTTTAATATATTAAAATTTAGTCTTAATCCCTATTTAAAATAAAGCTCTTATAAAGAACATGGTCATAATTATATTGTTTCTTTATATTTTCTTATACTGTATGTGTATATTTTCTTATACTTATATTGTAGGTATATACATTATACAGTGAGCATAGTAACAAGGATTTGTATTATAAAACGGATTATTATAATACCGTTTCAGGCTTCAATTTTTTGTGCACTTCATTTAACTCATCCTTTTATTCTTAATCATTGAATTACAAAAATCCAAATCTAACATCCTAATATTTTCATAAGCATTCATTTTACATTAACGTTCTTTGAAAATATTAAAAATAGAATTAAAGAAAGCAATGAAAATCCTCTTATACGTATTAATAATATTTTATTTTATTAAACCATTTATATAACTATAACTGTCTCAGGCTGATAGAGACAACATTAAAAAATTAGCTTCAAAATTTGAACCGTGAGTTTCGTTTTGACGGTATGAATTAGGTAGACTATATACATATATACATTTTCCAGCCCTCCAACTATCTTCACACAAAAAATCTCGCCAATCCGTAAGCAAAGTCAAAGTTAAAATGTGTATCGTAGAAAGAGAAAGTGTCAAATCTACAAACACATTTAAGTAGATTATATTGATTTTAAGAGCGTTCAAATTATAAAGCAGTAGTAGTAAGGAAAAAAATTTATGTGATTTTACGTTTTTCCTTAAAATATTTACAATGTTTCTCTTCATAAAAACTTCCACGGACTTCAACAAATATGTATTTTGAAATAAAAAAATAGCCGAATTGGTCCAGCCATTCTCGAGTTTTGCGCTGCGCAACACATGTAGCCAATCTAGCCAAACATTTCTATTTATAAAAACGTCAAAGTTTCTGAATCATCATAATTATAGGATTTCTAAACATAATGTATTCTTGACATAGCGTAAATAATAATCAAATTATGACATAAATATAAATTATTTAAACGATGTGTTATTGAAGATAAGTTTAGTGTACGCAGCCAATATTGACAATATTATAATATCGGTTAGGTTAAAAATTTATAATTCCTCCTAAATTCTTTGCTTGTACATGGAATTTTACTGATAAACTTAATGAAATTGACTATTCGTTTGAAAACAGTTATCCTTACCATGTATACATATAATTTTTTTTAATTTTCTTTATTTAAAAAATATACTATGAGTTTATCTACGATGAACAACGTTACATTCACTTTACAGCTTTAGCTCTATGTATCATATGATTGCGCTATTAATATTATAAAAGAAAACAATTTGAAAACAAAATGTTAGTTAATCAGTAGAGAAGTTACATGTAAAATAAAATAAAAATTACATTTTAATTTATATAATAATAATCTTTACTTTCGTCTTGTTTAGTTCTGAATATTTTGTAAACAAGTGACAATTGAAGTCGTGTTTGGAGGAAAGACAAGTTATATCTTCTTCTTATTAAAACTGACATCTCTGAGCGATTTCAAACATGATATTTTAGCTTATCCTCGATGTAGTTAGAGCATGCTATAACTGCTATATTATAGGCCGAGAGTTATCAGCAGTGCGCAGTGCCAAGCGCACCTCTGTCGTGAGACGGCCGATAGTACGACTATATTTTAAAATTCCGAAATTTTGTTGTTCGACCTTGATCGCGAAATGAAGGACCTCAACGGTGAGTCTTAGGTTTCCTTTTAATGTCCTTACTTTGAAGGCTCTTCTATGAAACTATTCTAATGTTGAGTTGTAAAAAAAATTATTATAGGATCGATAATCCCTCGACAGTGGTCTAATTGATATATCAAAATAGTACAACACGTGGAAGTTAAGTAACATATTAATGTATATTGTAAGTAACATATGTAATTATAATTAAAAGAAAGTCTATTGTCTTTACGAAGTCTAAGACACGCACATATTACACTGAAGTATTTTGTTAAAATTTTTTTTTTTCTGTGACGTTTTGAATAATTATTTCATGAGCATTTTAAATTCTTTAAATATGGTAAAATACGAACAATTCAAAAAATAGAATGTATTGCTTAAATAAAAGTAAGTAGGTATCTAGCAAAATTTATTGCTATATTTACATATCAACATAAACCTTGTGACTGCGCAAAATTGGCCGTTATCAAGTAAACAATTAGACTATTACACTATGTTCCTACAACATTTTAACTAGTACATCTTTATATATATAATTCTTCTGTGAGTGTGTATGTCACTGAACTTCTCTCAAACGACTGGACCGATTTTGATGAAATTTTTTGTGTGTGTTCAAGGGGATCTGGGAATGGTTTAGATTCACAATTTGAATAATAATTTTCATCAAAAAAATTATTAAAAAAAGTTTGAAATTTTCAAATTAAAGACGTGTAGACAGGACAACGTCTGTCGGGTCCGCTAGTGTAATATAAAAACGTTTAAAAAATATCTACCTATAACTATTAAAATTAAAATTTATTTCTAAGTATTGTTACCTCTACCATCGAATGTACTAATTCTAGATAATCTATCATTCATTCATCAATTTGAAAATCAATTCATCGAGTTTATGAATCATTTTTCAGAAGTTTCTTTTGCCATCCGTATAGAATATCTATTGTCATCTGCATTGTCGTCGAAGAGAAACTCGTAGATATCAATTTCAGATTTTAACTCAGTCGGATTACGAATTTTAATTTGAAAACAGAGGTGACATAAAACAAAGCTTGCACCACCTACAATTTTTCTCTTTCTTATCTGTGTTTTCTTTTTTTCAGGAACAACTTTAAGCGAAAAGCCTTTAGGCAGGCGACGAGCGGTCCCCGTGATATACTTACAAGGCTCTCATTATGATGTCGGCTTTGACGTGGTAAGTTGTTTTTTTCTTCAAAATACCGCCATACTCTTATTTTTTCTTATAAAAGTCTACATTTATCCACATAGATGCAAGAGGAAAAAAATATCGAACTACTACTATAAATGCGTTTGTTTCACGCTGAAACGGCTGGTCTGATTAAAATGTATTTTAGTACACAGATAGACTATAGGTTCGAGTAATACACAGGTGTCGTCGTATTCTACGCATCTAGAAACGCATCCGAGCGGAGCGTAGGATAAAGTCATAGGACCTGGGCGACCGAGCTTCGGAGTTTATGGTCTAAAGTACTTTTAAAAAAATAACTAAAAACTTGAATAAATACAAAAAAAAAACAAAAGAAAAACGTTGTATCCGACTTACGGCCGAAATTAGAATGATGCGAAAGAAAACCGCATGAAAACTCGAAAACACGCGTTTTCACAGACATAAGACCAATCTAGAACGATTTTTCGCCCCCAAAAACCTCCACGTACCAAATTTCTGCGAAATCGTTAGATCCGTTTGCGAGTTAGCCGGTATAAATAAACTTGCAAGAATTGCTCGTTAGATATATTAGATAGATACAAATTTCTTTAAAGTTTTTTTTAATTCAGATTTAATGAAACATTCACCTGCTACTGCAATTTGCTATTTTTTAATACATAATAATATATATTGCTCTTAATTAAAAATATTTAAAATATCTTAATTCTTATTATTATATAGGTAATATAAGTTTCAACAAGTTTTTATATTTTGTAGTTATAAGCGATCGTGGCTTTGTATAAAATCTATTAAGTAGTTAAATTTCAATCATAAAAGTTGGCTGATAATAATATTATACTCATTACAAGATTTTTAAGCTATAAATACAGAATATTATGGTAACTATGTATATTTTACTGTTTTTTTTATGCTCGAGATTGTTATAAAGCGAATCCATTTTTTGTTGTAGTTGTCTTTTAGGTACATATTTTGTCTATTTTTATTGTTACAAAGTGAATCTTCTATATAAAGAATATGAACTTTTAAGCTGTTTCTATGGCAACTTCAATTCAGTTTTTTGGCATCGTAGTATATTCATAGAAGGAATTTAAATATGTATGAATTTTTAAATATATATGTGTACAATATATGGGATTACCCATCTCAATTTAACATAGTAAAAAAACTTACAATATTTAATCCCAAAATGAATTTAACAAAACTGAAGTCTTTGCATAAACGTCAGAGGTGAGTCTACATTAGAAATCACGGGTTCATGTCCCGATCAAGGTAAATATTCGCGTTAACTATACAAATATTTATCAGAGCCTGTCTTATCCATGTCCCATGTGTCTATTGTATGTATATTTCACGGATTCTGATACAATGTTACTTTGTAAAGGCCAACGAATGTGTAGCATATTAAATGTAACTGTATTTATTGATACATAAAGTAGAATTTTCTATTTCATCTCCTAGCTGTTAGTCATAACTGACGTGTTTAGAGACCTAAATATGACCGTTTTATGTCAATATGTATATGGAATTGTCATTTATTAATTACTAGCGACTCAATCTCGCTACGCTCGGGTTCGTCCCTATGAACGTTTTGACGATTAGTATGAACCAGATATAACTTGTTTTCCCTTGGGAACGAGATAATTTTCCGCGGTAAGTAGCCTATGTCATTCTCCAGCCCTCCAACTGTCCCTCTTTACGACGTGCATAAAAGGACAAACAAAGTCAAAGTCAAACTGTATATCTTAGAAAGAGAAAATATCATATCTACAAACGCATTTAAGTATATAGTTTATAATAATTTTAAGATTGCGCTCATAATAATCGTAAAGTAGCAGTAAGGAAAAAGCAAAATGTAATTTTAACGGCTTTCCGTGAAATTTTTCCGATTTTTCTCTTCATAAGAACCTTCCTCGGATTGCAATGAATATTTGGTTCAGCCGTTCTCGAGCTTTGCACTTAGCCATTCATTTTTATTTATAAAAATATATGAATTTTAAAAGACTCTTCTAAAAATGGCACAATAACTTAAATAATAAATATTCTGTAATCGTTCGCGGTGATATTTTTTTAAAGAGCCAATCAATGTTGAACTACGCTGCAATTTGTTAAACTTCGTACGATTAACATGTATTGCTTACTAATCTATGTAATATGATAAATGATAATAAACTCAATTTATAATTAGCGAAATATAGACTGATAATTATAATGACAATACATATTATTACATTGATGCGCACTTGATCGTTTTTTTCAGTACATCTTACATTCATACTCAGTTCTTATTTAATATTAAATATTTATTTTCATGTACATACAACATTTCATAAAAATGCTTACACATAATAATCACGAACATAAACTTAAAATGTAGATAAATTTATGTTTTAAAAGCTTTTTGAAAGTATAATATCTTACGACTTATATATAAACCTTTTGAAAGTATTTTAATTTTTAACTATAATAAGTTAAATACTTTAAAATTAATTTACATCACACATTAAATATTTTTATTTGTTTTTTTTTTATTTAAAAGAACTATTGTGTTCTTGTAAAATATATTTCACGCTCAAAGATATGAACTTGAATTCTTATTCAAAGAAAAAAAATAACAATATTAAACAATAAAGAAATAATAGTTCTTTATGCAAATAAGAGTAACGGTAACAATATCGCCTAGAGATATAATATAAACAATGAAATATTAAATTTATATCTCTAGGCGATGTTTAATTGTATTGTAATGTAAAGTAATTTTAAATTTCTGATGTAAAAAATATAATTAACTATTTTAACGTAATTATTATAATTGTTGATTATAATACATATTATAATATTTCATAAATTCTATGCTTAATATTAGTATAATACAAATAAGTTGAAGGGCTAAGATTATTTCAAATTTTTATTTCATAACTGTATACTTATTTTTTGCTGTCCGTTGGTACTTACTAATAATATACAGCCGGAATGGCTGAACCTGATTTTGATAGTAAAAATTTACTATAACCCGGATATTACTCATTACATTTTAATATACATTCGCAATATTGTATAGTCAAAATTAACAACATATTTATCTTAGTAAGAATTGTCGGTGTATAATATTTAGGTACTGCATGAATTTATGACAATAATCATCGATCAAACAATACTTTTGATCGATGATAATAATGAATGAAACAAAGGTATTTTAAGTATGTATAATACTTATATACATATAATTAACTAGCGGCTCACCCTTGCTCCGCTTGGGTTCGCCCCTACTTACGTTTTGACGCTTAGTATATATTTCTCAGAGAGATATTTTCCCGCAGTAAAAAGTATCCTATATGTTGACCCGGACAACCAGCTATCATCATACCAAATTTCATCAAAATCCCTCCAGTGGATTTTTCGTTCAGACAGACAGACAGAAAGACATACAGACAAACAAAAAATCTAAAAACTATATATTCGGCCTCTGTATCGATAATATTTCAATAAGATTTTCCAAAAAATATTTAATGTACAGATTCGACTCAGTTAATTTTTTTATATACGTATGTCTGTGCCTAATTAGGTACGATGCCTATGATTAGTGTTGTCCAATTTCCGCTTTCTCCTTAATTAGAATCTATACACTATACGGTGTTTTGTGTAATTAATAAAACCATTTATACTACAACTTTCTAGCAAACCAGGACTAGAATATACAATTTCCTGGCAATAAATTATTAATTTAGCTCTCTACAATAGTCCATAATAACATATATTGAATGGATTTGATTAAAAAAATAACTAATTTTTAAAGTTAATTATACTAACAACATAGTAGGTACTTATTCCTTACACGAATAAAGTTTTAAAAAAGCTCAAGACGTAAATAAATGCAATAAGTACCTAGGGAGAGCTGTAATGCGATCGTAGTATATATTTTATGCATAGTTTAGATTATAGGTACAATTATGTAAGCTAGAATTTTAATTGGCCGTATACTAATTTAAACGTAGATGTCATTCAAAAGCATGAGTGCATAACAACGATGATAATTGTAATAAGGCAAATTACTAACAGCGCCTTTGTAATACAAATTTGAATTTTTTATTACATAGTAACTGGTCGAGCGAACTTCGCTTGGCAGTATATTGTTGTTTTTCTTATAAAATATTGCGGTTTTTTTTTCAGAAAAGACATCTATATAGATAAACTTAAAAAGCAAAACCTCATCTATATACAAAATTTGATCCACTCTTATTAGATTTAATGAGATTATTAGATTAATTAGAGACGTTTCCGAAATAAATAAAATAAATTTATGTATTTACAAAAAATAGTAATTGATCATTTAATATTAGGTATATGCTGCAAAAGCAAATTGCTTTTGCCCGCAGCTCCACTCACGTAGTTTATTTAAAAGGTTAGAGCTATAACCATGCTCATATATCTTATATCTTTAAACGAGCAATTCTTGTATATATATACAAGAATTGCTTGAATATATATATATATATATATATACATAATCTGAATCTCGGAAACGGCTCCAACGATTTTCATGAAATTTGGTATACGGGGGGTTTCGGGGGTAATAAATCGATCTAGATTAGTCTTATGTCTGAGAAAACACGTGTTTTCGAGTTTTCATGCAGTTTTCTTTTGCATTATTCCATGAGCACCGTGGTCAAGCGGCCAAGGTGCAAGATCAACAATCACAGGTGTCCAGATTCGAATATCGGTCGCATACAAAGTTTTCATTTTTGTTTTTTTTTAATATTTATTCTAGTTTTCAGTTTAAAAAAAAAATAAATTGTTCTTCAGGCCAAAAGCTCCGAGCGAAGCTCGGTAGCCCAGGTACTAGGCTATTAAATGTAAAAAGATTTTGTATCAAATCGGGCTGGTAGAGGTTTGTGCATTCAAACAAACAAAAATAACAATCAAGTATTTATTATAGTATAGTTTTGTTCATATAATTACGATACATATATTTTTATTTATAGGGACGAAATTTTGCGAACGTCATCAAGAGCTTCCTATCATCATACGCCAACCTTAAGGACTTTGAAAAGGAATACAAAACTGATACAGGGAGGGACGCGTATGACAAGACGCTCGCGAATATGAAGGAACGATTCCCGTATTACATTAAGGAAATGCAGGGTGTGGCCGATGGGGCAGACGTTCCATTCCATCAGGTACCATTAGTATAAACCCCTATAATATTGCGTCTACGACTATCACAAATATATGTTTAATGTTGTAATTGTTCAAGTTAGATTTAATGCGAGTGCTTTGTTTTGAAGGCAGATGGAATAAGTGATGAACTACTACTTTTATTATAAATATCTCTACCTTCATAAGATAATGGACACAAAAGCAGGAATCTAAATTACGTATTTTAAAATAAAACCCATAATTTTCTTAGAATAATTTCATCCCCACAATAAACCCCGTCTCTATTCTCTAATTAAGCTTATTGGTTGCACTTATAAGTTATGATGGTAAATTAAATAGAACACCGCAGTAAAGGCTCTGTCTTATTCCAATTTAATAATATACATACCAATTGCGATTGTAAGCATTATGTAAATTCTCAAATCAATCCTGCTATCTTCGAGTGTACAGTGTTCTCATATAAATATCTATTGAGATAATTTAAATTCTTTGCAGCTTTTTCTCTTGCAAATGGATGACATAATCGGAACTATTAACGACAATCATATACCACGCAACGACACAGGAGGCTGCAGTTCACTGGCTATTAAGACCCCCAATAATGTAAGTAACGTCTATAAACGCATTATAACTTTTGCAAAGGGCCAGTGTTATTGAACCGTTAGTAACGTATATGAAATTGAACTTTATTAATTCGCATTGATCAATCTTCAACGTTGAGAAAGTTACTTGTTTTAATAAATAAAAAACTCTCAGCATTAAAGTATAAGAAACTTTTAATGACACTTCCCTTATAATGTGAGCAATATAGATTACTTTATATTTTTTTTACATTTCAATGCCAATGAAATTGCGAATGGCTCGAGTGCAAAAACAAGTTTTTTTGGGCATCTATGACGAACATGGAAAATTACCTTTTAAGATTTTGTTTTGGAATAAAAATATACACCTTTAATAAATTTTCAATGTGATAAAGCCTAATTTTTTTATAAATGATCCATATTATTTAAATTTCGGTTCAAAATTAATATATTTACTGAGATGCATTTACTTTTAAACAAACACGCTTTTGCGCTAACGAAAAGAGCTGCTGACAATATACTCGTAATAGCACATAAAACGCTTCTCTCAAGATTAGTAATTTTGGCACTCAACATACAAATCAAACGCAATTATGGTTAATAAATTAGCTTTATTTATCATAAATTGATTTCACTCTTTTGTCTGAGTGTAACAGTAGATACACCTAAATTACTATTAACAAGATAAATTATCGCATGATAATACTTGGCACTATTGAGGAAATTTTGGTACGAATAAAACAACTGCAGAGAAGCTGGATATTTGATATCGTTAAAGGAAAATATCTTCACTTTCCAAGAAAAACGAACTTCTATTAGCATATTTTTACAATTCAGCGTAAAAGGCAATACGTTAAAAAAATACTGTTGTACCTTTTAAGCAGATTTTATTTTCGAATTTAACAAGGATGGGGCTAGAATATTAAATATCTAATAATAATCGTAAACTGGTTTTTTGAAGTTATACTTCTTTGCCGCGTTAGGGAAAAAAATGATGAGAGTGATTTTTTACGATAGATAGTCCTAGATTTAGGCTTCAGTTTGAAGTTAGTCGTTAAATCTCCCTTTAGTATAGTGTGATGTCTATATTCAGAAGTCAAGTCATAAAAATAACTAATATTACAAGCTTTTATTCAGATGCGGTGGTGGTATAACCTGTCCCGATGTCTGTCTGTAATCAAATCTTGCAAGTTAAATTTAACCCACTTCCCAATATCCGATTGAGCTGAAATTTGGCATGTCACGTTTTGTACATGCCATCATTTTTATTTTAATATGGCAGACATTTCAAAATGGCGATTTAACAATTCCATAATGACCCTTATGATATGAGCATCATATAAAAGGGCTTTATGAGCAAATCACAGTAAACAAAGTGATGTCATTGTAAATCCAATATTGTGGACTCCCAAAGATGGCGGACTATGTTTTTTTATGCACCCGCATGATATAGATATCAAATGAAAGGGTTTGCTGAAAATAGTACGAATAAAATAAAAACAAAATTAAAATTTTTAAAAAGCTTTTATTTAAATGCTCTAAAAACAAAGAAATATTACTTCTTAATGGCGTATATGAGTACACAAACACTTTTTTTTTTAATATTTATGTTCTTTCAGGCTATTTTAGGTCACACCGAAGATGCTTTTAGTGAAACACTCAATCATTTCTACATTATGTCTGCGCATATTATACCGACCGACGAAGATAGGGCGAATGGGGTAAGCCAATATCAAAAAAAAAAATATACTAAGTATTTTGTAATAATAATCATCATCGTATTAATACACGCTGCAATATAAATAAACGAATAATATTTTTGAGATAAATAATGTAACATAGACTATAGTATATAATACATTTAGATACATATATATTACCTATTATCAATACATAATACATACTTATTATGTATGTATACGATAAATAATAATAATAATTAATAGATCATTTTGATAGACGCTACAACTTGCGTCTATTAGAATACGGTACACTTAAAACTAGTCATTTTCTTTAGCTTTCCTTCCTTGTCATGTTTTATTTTACTCTTTAAGATAAATTATACCTAGACTGGAAACATTAAGTCATTTTTTCCTCGTTTTGCATAATAACTCGCAAGAAAATTCTAATTTATAAAAATCTAGCGACTCACCCACGCTCCGCTCGGGATCGTCTTAACTTACGTTTTAACGTTTAGTATAGATTTCTCGAAAATGAGATATTTTCCCGCAATAAAAAGTATTCTATATGTTGACCCGGATAACCAGCTATCATCATGCCAAATTTTATCAAAATCTGTCCAGTGGTTTTCTCGTGATGCGGTAACAGACAGACAGACAGACAGACAGACAGACAGAAAGACAGAAAGACAGACAGACAGACAGACAAACATTCTAAAAACTATAGATTCGGACTCTGTATCGATAATAATGTCTATTTCAATTAGATTTCCCAAAAAATATTTAATGTACAGATTTGACTTAGAATTTTATTATATGTATATAGATTATTTTTTATAATTATACGATTTCATTTAAAAATCTTTAGGGCGTTATCACGACTGTTCAAGCGGATGGTAATGTTTTATTTTAAACTAGATTAATAGCTACCTGTGAGCTATGTACCATGTTTTTAGAAAATTATCTGTGACCACACTCAATATTTAAGTATATATAAATAAAGTTTTACCTCATGTCGCAGGCCATCGAAGAGAGATTCGCATCGTTATGCTATGCAGGTCATCTACCCGGATACACGATGGGATATAATGAAAATGGATTAGTATTTTCTATCAATACACTTAGCCCAATGGCATTGAAACCTGGAAACACCCGTAAGTATCTACACTTTTCTTTAATGATTCATGTAAAATTTGTACAATATTTTTAATATTAATAAAGAACTCTTCTTTTGAGACTTTTCCTTTGACGCCAAGGGAGTAGAATCAATTATTTTTCATAAATATTAATATCGCCATATTATTCATAAATATGTAAATATGGACCTGTGTCTGAAGGAAAATAAATAAAAAAATATATGAAATCACTTTATTCGTTTCTAATTCGAAACAAATTCCAGCACGAACTTTTATCACGCGAGCTCTGTTAGCGTCTAAGAGTTACGCAGACGCTGAGAGGATTCTGCGAGATGAGGGACTTGGTATCGGCAACGGCTTTTCAATAAACATGATATGGACTAATAAAAATGGAGAACGAAAGATATATAATGCTGAAGTTGCACCTGATCTTAAGGGCGATAGGTCCAATGTTAACATACATAACTACGTTGACGAGCCATTGGTACACACTAACATGTAAGTGGAATATGGTCGATATGTAACTCTAATCCATACAAGCTTGAGATTGTATGGATTAGTGTTACATATGAATTTGAATTCGTGATCACGAAAACAAATGACGTGATTTTTGCTTTAAAATCCTGTTACGAAATATTCCATGAGTAAATAGACGTATTTACAAAACTTATTTTCACTGCAAATAGCTTAGAAAGCCTAAGCTGTTTTATCTATACAGATAAATGAAATTGCAATGTTTGTTTGTAATGTTGAAATAAACGCTTTTTATTAAATGGTATCATCATCATATTATATTGTACTTATAAGAAAAACAAATTTTTAAAATTTTTGTCCGTCTGTCTGTTTTTTTCGGCTAATGTGCGAAACGGCTAGACTGATTTTGACGGGACTTTCACTGGCAAATAGCTGATGCTATATGGAGTAACTTAGGTAGTTAGTTATTAGGGTCCCGCTCAAAAAAAAAACGTAACTAGGGACGCCCCCGAGCGAAGCGACGATATGTCACTATAATATTAGCACTATAAATGCCGGTATTGTATTTGTTAAAACAAAAACAAACTGATTAAAAAGTTATATTTGATGTCTTGGATACATCGAGACAATGTATGACACTGCGTAAATCTTTACCAACCACAATTAATTACGTTTTAACAATCTATATTTACATCGCTACACTGTGTTCATAATATGAAGATCTGTACAGAAAGCAATGGTATAAATGATGTAAATGGTACGTGACAATTTTACGTAGGAATGGATTAACATGGTTTTTGCATAAAGATAGTATGTGGACAACATTTCATGTTTCCGTGAGATTTTAAGTATTGCAAATATTCACCTAGCAGTAGAGGAGGTGGCTTAGCATTTTTTCTGGATATTTTATACCGAATAAATGTACTAAATAGTTGTTTATTTTTAATAATAAGTAAAATAAGCTTAAGTTAACACACCCACGGTAGACATGGAAAAAACGACTGACGATTTTCATTGTGATGACTGACAAATTCACTTATGCTTTCATACGGTATAAAATTACTAAATGAAATTCCTCTACTACTATTCTTACTATAATGAACTATAAAGACGGCGTCATACTTGTTATTTACTTTATAACATTCATATAATATGTATTTCAATAGATACCAACGGATTAATATAAAGGAAGTAATTGGGCCAATAATAGACAGTAGTACTTTTCGTCTCAAAATAATTCATTCGCACCAACCGCCTCAAAGCCAGAAGGACATAAAGGATATCCTGTCAGACGACACTGGAGAAGATTTCCAAGTATTTCAGCAGAAACCGGAATCCATTATTAAGACTATCGCTGTTGGTAAGTTTTTATCTTTATTATTTGACGACACGTTTGGCTCAGTTTGTAGTGACCCTTCTTGCTGTGCCAACGGTGGCGGGTTCGAGTCCCGTTAGGTTAGGTTAGGTTAGTCATTCATTTGTGCGATGAGCACGAATGTTTATACTCCAGTCATGGATGTTTATATTTATAATATGTATGTATTTAAAGTTATAGTACCTGGGCTACCGAGCTTCGCTCGGAGTTTTTGGCCTAAAGTACAATTTTCTTTTTTATTTAAAAAAAACAAAAGTAAAAACTTTGTAAAATCGAAAACACGCGTTTTCTCAGACATAAGACTAATCTAGATCGATTTATCGCCCTTAAACCCCCTGCCCCCTGACTTTCATGAAAATCGTTGGAGCTGTTTCCGAGATTCAGATTATATATATATATATATATATATATATATATATATATATATACAAGAATTGCTCGTTTAAATATATAGGATATGTGTAGTGTATCAACTATCTGGTATCCATAACACAAGCCTCGTAGCTTACCATGAAACTAGATGGTGCTGTGTGTTAATGTCCCAACATATTTATTTATTTATGTATTATCATACTCGTATAAGTAACATGAACGCTCGCAATCTGATGTATTGGTAAACATTTATTGGATTTATGGCATAACAACTAAACGTTTCCGTATTTTGAAGGACAAGTTATAAAAACGATATATTTACGTAACGCATATAAAATGTTACACAAAATAATACGATAATCAACCAAAAAAATGATTAAAAATGTCCAGTTTTAAATTAAGAGAGGAAATTGTTCTTGAAAAAACTTTTCATTAAATAGGAGATACAATTGCAACGCTTTCTGAGAAAGTTTTTTCAGATACAGTAATGCCGCTGAGGCTTTTATATTAATTTTGACGACACGTTTGGCCCAGTTTGTAGTGACCCTGCTTGCTGTGAAAGCGATCGCGGATTCGAATCCCGCTGGGGGCGGGCATTCATTTGTGCGATGAGCACGAATGTTTGTACTCCAGTCATTTTTTAAATTTATACATATGTATGTGCAGTGTATTAACTAGTATCCGCAACACGAACCTCGTAGCTTACCATGGAACTAGATGGTGCTGTGTATTAATGTCCCAAGATATATTTTTTATATTTAATTAAATATTTTTATACTGGTCCTTTCTTCAAATTTCAGTAGCTTTATATAGGTACAATAGTATAAAATCAGTAATATATCTAAATCATGTAATGTATATTCGAAAACCTAGGGTATATTCGATATAAGTGTGTATTTATAGTTTTTTTTAATTATTTGATAATCATATAATTTTATTCAAATTTCGATAATCAGTATTTATTTAAGTATTTACTATATAACTAAATACTGTGTATATATATTTAGAATCCCTTATCTTTCTAATCTCACATGCGCTACATATAAATGAGGTCATATTCCTACTTAAATTAGGTACATATAATGTGGTATTTAGTAACAGAATATACGTAGTTATATAATTAACAAAATAGTATTCAAAATAGTATTTTATTTTATATACGTTGAACTGATTTAAATATAAGAAATTAATTGGTAAGAATGCTTAATGGTGCTAATGCAATATACAACGTTTCGGCGCGAAAGAAAATGAAAAACAATCCTTAAAGTACCTATCATAGAGAGCAAGTTTATATTTTTTATATCCAACCTTAAAATATAAAATATGACTTTTAAAAACCTAGGAAATACGAAATTAAGGACATATTTTTTCTGAATAAATATTTTCACTATATAATGATTATTTTTTCAGGATTCTTCGATTTGGACAAGATGACATGGAGTATCTTCATCAACAAGCCAAATATTTCTGAACCTGTTGCCGTTTTGCCAATACGATTCTCGCTGTTAAACAAAACTAATTAATGACTTCTAGTTAATAAACAACTAGACGAAGTTTATGATTTATTTATAGTTATATATATATATAAACTATTGTATACCTATGTATATTAGATAATCTGTTTGAAAAGAAATTTGTTTGTTCGTGTTTACGTAAGGGTATATTATCTTAATATTGTTTGTTTATACAACTGTTAATATTGCATTTACACGATTGTTTTACCAAGCTACAGTCACGAACACCAAAGATAAAAATCACGTTCTTTACTGATACCTACCTATAACTAAAGGAAAAATGCAAATAGTGGATTATATAATATTACACGCCTAGGTCGATACTGTATTCATTATTATGTTAGTGCCTAAGAGATACATTCAACCGGATACAATTTAACATTAATAAAATTATCGTCGTCTTATGGGGCTAGCAAAGCTTTCAAGACTAGACTTAAAATGAATTATAAGTAAAATATTTTAACTTCTTTTGTGTCTTCTTCGTAATGACAATATAAAAATGAGAAGTTAACTATATTTTAATAAAATAAAACACATTCCTTAGACAATTTTTTTTATATACCGAATAAATATTTTGTGTGGTGTGAATAAAATAAATAAAAAATAATTGCTCTTAAAACCTGTTTTTTAATTTTATCTTAATTATAGTGAATGGTGTGTAAGTGAAGTGAAAAATAGTAGAATTATAATGAATAATTTAAAAAAAATATTGACCTGTTGCATGAGGTCAGTCAGCCGGATCTGTCGGCTGATATATGTTTTATTTGTATAATTAATATAGTAATATAATATATTTCAACATGTTTAAGTATAAATATTGCACAATCATCACCTAACTGTACACCGGATGTATGGATATCCGTTAGCAAAATGACTTTTGAACAGCAACATTTTGAAAGAACACATCATAAAAAGTGCTGATCTACTACAGATTAAATCGGATCTTAAAAGGTCAATAATAATTCCCATTAAATAATTAGTTAGATTTCGAAAGCAGGAAAAGTCTTTAAACTTTAAACCCACATACGTATAATATTTATCAGTGTTTATGGGGTTAGGTTTTTCATATATTATCAAGCTCAAGGAATATCCAGAGTTTTATACAGATTGTGAGGTGACACGTAATCCGAACCCTGTTGCCTTTACGATGTCCGCCTGACCGATTTCGGCCAGTTCTTAGTCTAAGACTACCGATCTTGCGCAAAAGATATTTTAGTGCACAAGTACTCGCGCAAACACAAATGCACTCTCTTTTCATGTCAGAGCTCATAAGCCGGTGGGGCGACAATTCGACACGTCACACGATCAATGAAAGATTTAGCGCAGGATCGATGCGACGCGTGCTCCTCGTGGTACCGACCTGAAACACCGCCAACCTCCCTATCTTCGAGGTTTTACAAACAAATTAAAAAAAACGCAATGGATATCTAAACTTGGCCCGACCCGGGACTCGAACTCGGGACCTCCGGATACATTGCCGTACAATGTACATATAAGCCATTAAATATTGAGCAGCTATTTTATAAATATCAAAGCAATATTACTTACTAATATCACTATTCTATTTATGGGACAATGGATATTGTGTCAAAGTTTCCCCTAGCAGTTCGGAAAAACACATCTCATTCTTGAGAAGAACTGCCGAAAGAATCTCAACGGGATTCTAGAACTTCTTTAAGTACGTATATAGAATTTTAAAAAATATATCATTTTATCTAGCTTTTGATTCACTTATAATACCTACCTATCATTATCACAATTTCTTTAATGTACTTACATAAGTATTTATTTTATAAATTTTAATGCACAAATTTTATCTAAGTCTAGCAAAAGAATCTTATTATACGTTTTCTGGGATCCTGTTGTAAACTACCCTTAAGAATAATTACGGACTGGATGTACCAAACCAATATCACGAGATTGTGTCCCATTGAAGTTGTTGTTGATGTTTCTTAATATATGTATCTAGTCCTGTATGCATTATGTAAATATATTAAGTTCAATGGAATTAAGTTATAACACTTCTTGTCAAACAAGTGTACATTGCTAACTAGTTATTTCTAACTTTAAGTATTAGATGTATAGATACATTATGTATTTATGCATATAATCTTATTCTTTTATATAATAATATAATAGCCTTCTTTTACCTACCAATCTTATCAAGTATATCATCCCCAATCTATATCTAATATATTTAAACCAGGGCTCGGATACCGGTATATTTTTCGAAACGGTTTCATTTGAGCAGAACGCAATATAAAACGTTTTTGAGCAGGAAAAAAATTTAAATCGTTTTCGGCTAATAAAACGTTTTTGACCGTTATTTTTCTTATTTTTCTGGGATATCCAGTACAAACTTACAAATAGTTTCATTCACTAGGAGAGCGTGGCTTAGTTTAGTTGTTGCACGTTGAGCACGGTCGTGTCCTGCGGATTAAACCGGTTTTTGAAAACGTTTTCGTTTCGTTTTCGTTTCGAAGAAAAAGATGTACATAATAGTTCAAAAAACTGTTAGGAACATGTAAAAAAACGATATTTTAAGTAACGTTTCCGAGCCCTGATTTAAACGAGCAATTCTTGTATATATATATAACGGCTCCAACGACTTTCATGAAATTTAGTACACAGGGGTTTCGGGGGCGATAAAACGATCTAGATTAGTCTTATGTCTGGGAAAACGCGTTTTTCGAATTTTCATGCGATTTTCTTTTGCATTATTCCACGCAAAATATTATGTTCGATAATTTCACAAACGCGGGCGTAAGCATCACGGTCAAGCGGTCAATGCGCAACATTGAATAAGTTTCCGGGTTCAAATCCCGGTCGGATACAAAGGTATAATATTTTTTGTTTATTTTTTTGTATTTATTAAAGTTTTTGTATTTTTTTTAAAGAAAATTTTCCTGTTCACCAAAAACTCCTAGCGAAGCTCGGTGGCTTAGGTACTGTTATTAAATGCCATAACGAAGAATCGAATTGGATTGAGAAAGTCGAACAAAATTGGTAGATACTTCTTCTTAATTGCAATTAAGTTATACTTAATACTCGTATACTAGTAGGTGGATATAAAGTACCATGAATAGAAGGATCGATTTACCTTTTAATTTATTTTAAATTAGCTATGAATAATACAATGACTTAGCACATATTAGTAAGACTTTTAAGTACATGACGGCCTACAGACTTGTAAGAATAGCTACTTGTTGCTTTTTATAATTATGTTTATAAGTAAGAATATATAGCCCTTTTCGATTTCGAAACAATTTAGGTACAAAGTCCAGTCTAGTCCATGAAAATGTCGGATTAAAGATCAGCAGAATAAAAACAAAAGAAATGTTCTTCGATTTCAATGGTCAATCTATTTCTTCTTACATAGCCTTAACAGTTTGTATCCCTTGCATGCAGCTAAAATTTTCTGTACCCCAGTTCATTTATTTAAGACTACGGTGAGATTAGCCAGAAACAAGGATAAATGCAACAAAAGGCGGACGGCTGCGATTGGACCAAAAGGCGAAGGCTCTTGAGGACCGAAGTCCATATAGTATTATTATAATATATAGATGGACTGCGTTAAAGAGGTATGTGTAGGAAGGGAGTATCGAGAAGAAGACTGAAGAATTTTCCTGTAGCAGTCACATAATAAGTAGGAAACATACCGCACCAGATGATTAAGCGTGAGTAAGTTAGATATGTTCAAGTTAAGTACAAGTTTCACTGGATTTAGAATAACTTTAAGCGTAATCTATACATATAATAAAATTGTAACTAAGTCGACTCTGTACATTAAATATTTTTTGGAACATCTAATTGAAATAGACATTATTATCAATACAAAGTCCGAATCTATAGTTTTTAGAATTTTTTGACTGTCTGTCTGTCTGTCTGTTACCGCATCACGAGAAAACCACTGGACAGATTTTGATCAAATTTGGTATGATGATAGCTGGTTATCCGGGTCAACATATAGGTTGATAAAAAGTACAAAAACTGCATTGTAAGAGTATACTAATATGTGAAACCTAAGAATTCGGTTTTTGAACTCTCTAAAATTTTAATTCTAGGAGACAAAAGTCCTCCGTTAGTCACGCAGAGTTTTCTTAATTATTATTTGGTGACTACTGCTTGTATCGATTAACTATTATTAGAAATATTTAAACAATTTTTATTATATAATTAACAAAAAAGCATCATAAGCAACATAATGATACATACATAAGTTCCGGCTGTTTAATATCAACTGACGTAGTAAATGTAATATTTAAATGGATATCCATTTAAATATTACATTTAATGTTATTAAAAATGGAGGAAATAAATCGCATAAGTCATTGTTAATATTATTTTTTTTTGGACATTTCAAATGTGACGTTATGCCATTTTTGTACCGACTGCTTGCTGTAATGGCGCGTAGGCGAAATAAGAAATACCAAGGTTAAATCTCATAAGGCTGGCTTTAGCAAACTCGAAATCCATTCAACCTTCAGTTCAGAATCAAAAATGAAAGTAGCAGGCAAAGTAAATTTATAAATTTTATAGTTTAAATATTAACGATCATAATATTTAAAAAATAATAATATACATTATTTTTTTTACATGTAACCATGTTTATTATATCCTTATGTTTTATTTGATGACTTAATAATAATTAATCAGACTTCCTCCTTCCTCTCTTAATACATAAAAAGGGCTTTCGAAAGTGCTTGAATAAAGAAGAAAAGATAGATTGTGTATATAAATTTATTAATTATTTAGCATTTAAGACAATATAGAATACATTGTTACTGAGTTTATTTTATTTTTAAATTATATAACTCGGGTTAGTTTCTTATTATGAAATGGATTTATCTTGGGTGCTTCAATACACATTACACATATTTTTCAAAATACGACATATTTTATATTAAAGAAACAATTCTTTAATATTGTATTATATAGATTGTACATACCTCTTTTTCTATGTTAGCTAAGAAGCACCATATTCCAGTTGACCAATGTCCTATCCTACTGTCCACATGTAAAATGTAACTATTATATCACTACATTTGTAGCGGTACAATAGTTACATTTTACATAATAGATTTAAATGCTTTTATAAAAAAGAAGAAACACCTGAAAACCTTCAGGCATTTCGGTTGTCATCTGTAGGTACCAGTGGCGAAGCGTCCATACAAGACGTCCTATAATTTTACATACATTTAATTTTTTAAATGTATGTTCTTTTGGATATATATATATATATATATATATATATATATATATATATATATATATATATATAATAGCTTTATTTCTTTCTGCATTACTATGTATACTAAAATTATATATTTTTGGAACAGCTTACCTCTGCTAAATTTCACCCTTCGCCACTGGTAGGTACTTAATATCCATACTTAATATTATAAATGTGAAAGTAACTGTGGTGGTTGTCTATATATAAAATTTATAAATGTCTGGCATAAGCTGTTAAACAGATTTCAATGAAAATTAGTATGAACATATGTAGATTTCTTCATTAGGATGGGCATAGGCAACCTCTCATCCCCATCTCGTTTACCATATATATAAATGAAGTTTTGGGCAAATACCAGTTATGTTATTACATATTAACATATCAAGTTTTTATTTAACTTACAATGTTTATTGGTCGGTATGTTCCTATGGGTCAGAGTTGAAATTTTACATGTTGGATTAGTTCCCACGAAAACTTGGAGTTATACTTCTGTTAGCACGTTTGGAAAAATTTATGAGAGTGAAAATTTTTACGATGCGCGCGCACACCGACAGCCAAAAGGCGAAATGATGAAGTTAGCTGCAAGAGCTGCATGATGAAGTTAACTACATTCCTTTTACAAACAGAGAGTTGTAACATACGGGATTAAATCTTTAGCTATTTTTGTTCTGTTACGCCAAAGAATTAGTATAACTACGTGCATAATTACATATACACGTTTTTTTATTATAATTATGACCTGAGTCTCCATCTAAAATTGACTCCAGACGAAAGAACTCTTCAACAGCTAACAGTTAAAGATACGAAATTTTATATATGTACGCATTCGTTTATCATAGCTCTTATAAAATCTACCATGATTTCGTTCCCGTTTGAATAAGATAATCTCTAGCGGTAAAAAGTAAACTATGTCACTCTCCAGCCCTCCACCCAAAAAATCACGCAAATCCGACACACTTTCACATTTATAATATTAGTATAGTATGGATTAGCATTTAGCAGCACGCGAAATTATTACTTTTTTTATAATAAACTTTTATCTATGACATGTAATTTAAAAGAAATGTTACAGATCTAAATTTTTGGTACCACACTAAATGAACATGAAAACATGTTTTTTAAAAATAATTGCAATTTTGAGAAAATCAACTCTTAATAAAGCTACAGGTTAACTCTGTAATAAGTTGCCAACTCCATATAATATCATATACAGATATGTATAAGGTTACTTACAAAGACATTTAAAAAAAAAATGTAAAATTATAAATATTATTTTTTCATGTTTTGCAAATATATTGTAAAATAATTTTAAATTCAAAAGGAGCTAGCTACTTATTAGTAAACAAATATTAATACAGTTTAACCACAGCCACAACCACCTCCCATCGGGGGTGGTGCAGGACCTGAACTGGAAGGACCAAAACCGCCAAATTTTCGCGATGGAGGCTTGGGAGGCCTGAAAAATTATATAACATATTTTAGAAAAAAGACTTTGCAGTAAATTTATCATGTATGGTAACTATTAAGATTGTGATTCTTAAAATAATAGTACATAATACATATGTATGTAAACTTCTATCTATAAATAAAAAAAATAATAAAAATGTTAATTGTAAAAACAATTTATTTATATATGTAACTTACCCACTACCAGGTGGACGAAAATCTCTCACATATCTGTCCCCGTGTTTGTTAAAGTTAGGATTGATGAGAGACTGGAACCTATAAAATTTTATTTAAATATACAATAATACAAAATAAATCTAAAGATTTTTTTTTGTTTCTCCTAATCATTTCTGAACGAATGGTGCAAGAATGGGCAAAAATTATGCTATTTCTCCTGCCACATATCGTGATCACTATGATCCTCAGTATATTGTAAAGCTCTATGTCATGGATGGAATATTTTTTATTTTAATTAAAATTTGATTAAAATAACAAATTGTGCCAGGATGCAAAGAAAATGTATATTATCAATATCCATTGTAATTGTTTCCAAAAGACCAAAAAGTTAAGAAATTATGAGCTAAAGCAATAAGACAATCAAAATTGGCAAAATCACAATCTTTACATCATTTAAGGCTATGTGGACATCATTTTACAGAAAGTGATTTTAAAACTGTCACATCATCTACAGGTGAATATATTTTTTTGTACTTTTTAGTGCTATTCAAAATTTTACAGTTACACAATTATTGCTGTTTAAATTGTAGGTTTTAATTTACAATATCGAAAGTTAAAAGAGTATGCGGTCCCGTCTGTTTTCCCTTGGTCCAAGTTTTTACCACCTTATGCAGCTACTATGGAAGAAAAGACTACGAAATAGAAATCTGAAAAAAGAGCTATTCCCATAATCATTTCAGATTGTAGTAATAATGATACTGAAGTTAAAGAGAGTGAACTATTTATTGTTAATATCCTGAATTTGAATACCACTATAACTTGAAGATTTCATTTATTTATGTCCAAAAGTTCACTCTCTATTCCTTCGTCAACTTGTTTTCATCTTTTTAGTTAGCTTTTATACAGCCAGGTTTTTTATTTTTATATAAATGTAGTCGGGTTTTTTATTTTTATAATACTTTCTTAGATTTACGCGAATATTTGACATTTTAAATAAAACTATCTTTTCGGATTTTGTCGCGGATTTATTTGTATTTTTGTTTCCCGACGTTTCGAATGCTTTACAGCATCCATGGTCACGGGAGAGACCATTTTATATAAAAAATTAAAATTCCATCCACTCTATAGAGCTTTACAATATACTGAAGATCATAGTGATCATGACATCTAGAGGAAGAAAATGGCAAAATTCTTTCCCATGAAACTTTCGGAAATTAACTATATATATTTTTATGTATGTATTCCTAAACACTCTAATGTCAAGATGTGTGTTCGATAGCAAACTGTACTTGCAAAGCAAATACCAAACTGTATGATGTGTATTTTTCCAGCCCTTTTGATAACTGTTCAAAATTTATTAATCTTTCTACTATTTGATATTGATAAAATATTGATGCCAAACTGGTATAAAAAGAATTCTAATAAGGGAAAGTGAAAAGGCGTCTATATTTATAATATATAGATAAATAAAGCCCAAATTCTACTTAACCACTTTATATAGAGCCATATTACATTTGAAATATGTGAACTTAATAAGATAATAAAATTATGAATCATAAAAGAGTATTTATTATCAACTTACAGCAAATAGATGAAATTAAGTAATCCCCAAAACCAGCCAAAAATGCTAAAGGGACTTTGCTCTACAACAGTACCATCTGAAAGAACAAAATTTAATCACAGCAAAATTTGAGTGAATAATAAGTCTTCAAGGACATCAAATCATAGATATTGTAATAGTATGGGAATGTGTAACTTTTATATATCAATATTAAAATTTAAATTTATACTTAATTTAATTTTTTATCACATGAAATACATGATAAGAACATGGACACAAATTTCAACAAGCCAAAAGATAACACATTTAAAAGCCAGGACTTAATAGTCTGACGTGGCTAACTAGTTAAATATTATTAAATTACCTCCTTTCACGTAAACCATTTTCGAATGTTTCCAAAAGTTTTATGTATTACTTATTTAAACGAAACTGGGGTTCGAAGAATATTAAATATTAATATTACAAGTTGAGAAAGTCAAGACACAAACTTTAAAAAGCTATCAGAGTGGCAATTTGAAATGACAAGTTACATTTTACATTTACAATTTGCATTGTTTATTGACAATCGACATGATGAGAATGACATTTACGTTCATTAATGTTAATTGGGGAAGAATCATGACTCTTTTTCCCGCCAGGCATCGCGATCACTATAGCCTTCAATATATTGCAAAGATCTATAGTGTGGATAGTATTTTATTTTATTTTATTTAAAATTTAATTAAAATAACAAATTGTGCAGTGCCAGGATGCAAAGAAAATGGATATCATTTGTTCGCAAAAGACAAAAACTGAAGAAATTGTGCATTAAAGCAATACGACGACCGAAATTGGCGAAATCACTATCTTTATATATTTTAAGGCTATGTGGACATCACTTTAAAAAGATGATTCAAAAAAGTGATTGTAAAATTCTTAAATCTTATACAGATGAATTTGTTTAGAATTTCATACAAAAATTCATCCCCCATTTTACCCCTGGGATTAAATTTTGAAAAATGCTAAAATACATATTTATTTAATTGTATTGAAGAGCAATAATACCAAGTTTTAAATAATTCTGATCATCATAATTATTTGCCACCACTTTGTGTGTATTTCACATTAAGAATGACAGAGTTTCATACAATCATTAATCCTCTATTTTACCCGCTTTACGACCAGCGGTATAGGCTGTGTGTTGATCCATCAATCAGTCAGGACTCAGAATCACAGCAGGATGCACCTCTCCTTCTCAATTATTCCTTCCATCTGGTTGCTGGTCTAACTTCCAGCTACAATACATTGCACAGCTAAGATGCGAACACAATAGAAGCAAAAAAACCAAGTGTAAAAAAGATATTACAATAAATTGCTTAACCTCAGACTGAATGTAAATAGGCCAAACGTGTGGCGCCCTTCCCTCGAGAAAGCTTCCCATTAGATCTGGTCCGTTAACGACTATGGTACATACTATATAATATATATTTAGAATTTAGATCCGGGATCGTACGTACCTAAATAGTCTTAACTCCTATGTGTAGTGCCCCTAAGAAAAGGAAATGTAATGGTTTTTATTGATTATAAAAATAATAGAATTTTTAAGTAATATCAAAAATTTAAGAATAAAATAAGTTAGCTTTACTCAATACTCCTATATTAGGTATAAAATTTTACTATGACGTTACATGGAATCAAATTAGTAACTTTTGATGCGACAAATACATTGTTAAAATTTCGAGTTCCTCCATGGGATTATTATGCTATTGTCGCAAATAAACATGGTTTTAAAGGAAACAGTATTAGTATAAAATCTAAAATATTAAACAGTTACAAATTCATGTCCAATGAATACCCAAATTTTGGAAAAAATACAATATCTTGGGAACAATGGTGGAGCAGAATAATAGAAATGACGTTTCGAGGTGAGTTAGATAATGAAAATATAAATAAAGTTTCAAGAAAACTTATAGAAGATTATAAAACAACTACTTGTTGGCTAAAAGCAGAAGGAGCTGATGATTTAATTTGTTCTTTGAAAAAATCTGGCATAACTATTGGTGTGATATCCAACTTTGATCCACGACTAAAGGATGTTCTATTCAATCTAGGAATGAGCTCATGGTTTGAATTTGTCCTAACATCTTATGAAGTTGGAATTTCTAAGCCAGATAAAAAGATTTTTGAATTAGCCGAGGCAAGATGTAAAACCAAAGTTTTATCATCACAATGTTTACATATAGGTGATGATATTAAAAATGACTTTGATGGTGCTCAAGCAGCAGGCTGGCAAGCCTTGCTTCTAATAGATGAAGCTAATGCTGATTTGCAAACACCAAAGAAAAGATATTCTAGTCTAACGGATATTCATAAATATATTGAAAGAAATAATTTATACTTTAACTAGATAAATATCTAAACATAATGTACATGTCATAAATGTAAAAATAAACTATTGTGTAATTTAAATATTTTATTTATTCTAGTTCTTAATTAAAAGTTATAAAAGATGGGTAGAAATTCTCATCAATAAATAACAGTGAACATACACATATTTTGCCTTTTTTACTTACAAGCAGTACCTATTATAAAATACTATTACTATAATTTTTTATAACCCTCTCTTCGCTTGGGTTCATTTCAACTTTCATTCAATTTTCACTCCCTTAAGGGATGATTTCTGAGATAAAAAGTATCCAATGTCCTTTCCAGGGTCTCAACTATATTACCGAATTTCATCTGAATCGGTTCAGTATCTACTGAACCAGAGATTACCCCCTTCAACATCACAAACTCACAAACTTTACCTCTTTAATATTAGTATAGATTTACAATAGTTTTACTTTACAATAATATTAGCACTTACCTAACTCACTATAGATTTTTTATATACAACAAAAGTAGGGTAGGTAAGCCTTGGGTCTTTCATCAATCAAATTAAGAATTTAAAAACATAAATGCATTATTAAGTTACAGAATACTTAAATCAGTGCACACAACCATTTATCAAGTGTATCATAAATAATTATAAATTAAAAAATTTATAAACCCCCCTACGCAAATTAATTGTCATTTAACGGTTTCACTGGCACGCGTGAAGCACTTAATCGAGTATTCATACGCCATGCCAAATGCCTTACATCATTTTGGAAAAGAGCTAATACTCTTACACTGCTGGACCGATATTAACCAAACATAGCTAAGAACACTGGCTTTCAAATGAAAAAAACCGTATCGATATCGGTCCACCCGTTTGAGAGCTACGATGCCACAGACAGACACACACACAGACAGACAGACATTAACGTCAAACTTATAACACCCCCTTTTTGCGTCGGGGGTTAAAAATTTATCAAAGTGAATTGAACTTATCAAGAATGAATTGTGGTAAAATGAAGTTAGGCTAAAATTTCTAAACCTTGAATTCAATCTTGAATTTTATGGTGTGGGGGCCCTGGGGTTATTATAGAGTGAAGTAAGTAATACTACTACTGCAAGAAATGAAGAGAACTTCGTTTTACGAATTTTTTACTTTATCGAATTTACAGAACCACCAAAATGACCATTTTTTTCATATACAAAAATATAATTACGTAGCTGAAGAGATTAAGCGTTTTGTTGGAACATGCTATCATTTAAATTTGATTTTTTTTGTACTTTATAGTCTATTTAATGAGGAAGGTATACATGATCAAACAATATGTTGCTTCATCCTGAGTGCCTGATGATAATTTAAACATTACCTGGCGAACATGTTCAAAATAGATTCCTAGTGCAAACCCACTAAACATATTGTTACTCTTACTCCCACTGTGTATCGAAACCTAAAACCCATTATCCAATATAGAACTTCACAAAGAATTTATTTAAGGCTAATGGACACCAAGTGGCAAGTGCAATCCTTCATTATCCAAACGTTCTTTGCCTACTTAGGTATTTTGCGAAACGCAAGTTGTGCTTCGTCAGAACGTATCATTTTTTTAGGATATTTTGTTCAAGAGTTATATTGGTGTACATACTTGTGCATTACTTATAATGTCGCCTAAGCACATGACTATACTAAGTATCAGAATTGATTGTAACAGAAGGATGCTCATGAACGGAATCTGTCAGGAGGTACATGTATTCAAGGTTTTTGGAATTCATTGCCAAGATTTTGATTTTGGTACTTCTTTATTAGAGACTAGTTGAGGAATAATTTTACTAAATGTGTTTCAATTGTTTGATAGAGTCGGTACTCAGAGACGCACATCATTATCGTATATAGCTTTTAGTACGCGCTTTTAGGAACAGCACAGTGCACTGCATATATTTCAAATTTCCTGGAAGTTTTTACTAAAACTAGACAGGAAAGTTTGAAATTCCTCACCTAGAGAGTCTCTTCTTTCCCAGGGGTCAAGAATAAAGTGATAAATGTAATTATAATTTTTATCGATATAAAACAAGTTTTGTGCAGGTATAAAGAAATATCTGAATTAATTATTAATATATTGATTCTTGAATATAGACATCACTTCACACTTTAAAGAACGGGCTAATTCATACTGTAGTCTAAATCTGTCGAATTGTAAAAAAGTCACGCTCATGACATCATTTTCCCCCTAAGAAAATAAAACTTAAAAGAAGTATATTAACTTCAAAAATACGAAGCAGTTCTAGAAACACTCCACATTTTGTCACGCTTTTCACAAAGTTTATTAACTTTAACCATTACCACTATAACTTACTTTAGTAATAATAATTATATGTTAGGATTTTTCAAAATTATTATTAAAGTCAAATTTACCCTTATTCAATGTTGTATAGAATTACAATTTAATTTTAAAGCAATTTTTTCATATGGCAAAAGTAGGTTTCGATTTTTTTAAATTTATTTTTAGTAGCAACACAAGAAAGTGCTGCGCGTCCATGTCAAGTAAAGTAAGCGAGTTTTCGACTCGGTAATACGGGATCAATATAAATTAAAATGCGGATCCTCACATAAAATATGAAAATAGTGTTATTAAAGTATTATGAGTATTTATCAAAGACTTGTGTGGCCTTGTTTGTTAGAAGGCAATAAGCTATAATCTCCTGTACCGTGAACACTTGAAGTACATTGCCGTAGAGAAATGACGGGACAATCCTTTATCTTGGACAAAGTGGAGTGTTAGCCCTTAATTGTGAAGACTCATTTTTATCATTATGTAGTGAAAACGAAGTGGTTTCGTTACGTTTCTTTTAATAAATATTGTATTTACGAGTTTGCTTAGTTATTGTTATGTCGTTGAGATGATGTGGATTTGCGCAGCGGTGGCGGCCGCGGTGATCGCCGCTTTGAGTGTACGAGGCGAGCAAGTTATGCTTCTTGACACTACGACTGAGAATACTCTTGGATGGACACGTTATCCATACGGCCCACAAGCAAGTACGCCTGGCTGGTTAGAAGAATCTTATACTAATTTTGAGAAACAAATTAACTGGCGATCTTACGTCGTATGTGACGTAGCGCATCATAATGTAAATAACTGGCTTTGGACTCCATTTATTGAAAGAAGAAATGCAAATCGAATTTATATTGAAATCAAATTTACAATAAGAGACTGTTCACTTTTTCCTGGTAATGCTTTAAGTTGCAAAGAAACTTTTAGTCTACTGTATTATGAGTTTGATGTTGCTACACGAGAACAACCACCTTGGGAACCAGAAAGTTATAAGTTAGTTGGCCGTATTGCAGCTGGAGAAGGAAGATTTAATACAAATTCTGAAGTGGATATAAATACTGAAGTCAAAAGTATAGCAGTTACTAAACGTGGAGTATACATTGCATTCAGAGATCAAGGAGCTTGTATTTCAATATTAGCAGTTAAAGTTTATTATATAACTTGTCCAGAAGTAACAATAAACTTTGCAAAATTTCCAGCAACACCTACTGGACGTGAAATAACGATAATTGAACAAGCTAATGGAACTTGTGTTCAGAATGCTGAAACAGCACCAGGTGAGGCACCTCCAGTATACTTATGCAAAGGTGATGGTAAATGGACCCTGCCAAGTGGATCTTGCAAGTGTCGAGCTGGTTATGAATCTGATCATAATAATCAAATATGTAATGAGTGTTCACCAGGCAAATTTAAGTCACACACTGGAGATGACCCATGTTTGCCATGTCCAGACTACTCAGAATCTACGGTGTTTGCTTCAACGGAATGTAAATGTGTTCCTGGATTTTTCAGAGCCAAGAAAGATCCTAGGAATGTACCTTGCACTCAGCCACCATCTGCCCCAGACAACTTAACTGTAACTTTTGCTGATCAGTTTTCAATATCTCTTGCTTGGCAACCTCCTCATAAAACTGGAGGGCGAAGTGATGTCACTTACAAAATATCCTGTTCTAATTGTGGTCCTAGTGTTGAGTACAGACCAGCCGCTTCTGGTCTCAATTCTTCTAGAGTAACCGTCATGGGATTAGATCCGGTTACTGAATACAAATTCCAAGTCTTTGCTCTAAATGGTGTATCAGATTTGACAGGAGAGCCTCCAAAAAAAGTGGAAATTACAGCAGTTACTGAAGCCTCTGTTGTTAGTGTTATAACCAAACTAAGAGTTGTGAGTGTTGAAAGTGATAAGTTATCCCTTGCCTGGAATCCACCACCAATAGATTTAACTGATCCAGATGATGCAATAGAAAGTTATGAAATAAAATGCTTTCCTAAGGATAATCTTGAAAAAACAGCTAATGCAACTGTTAAAATAACAAAAGAACCTCATGTTATAATTACTGGATTAAAACGGGACACTGCATATGGTATTAGAGTTAGAGCAAAAATGAAAAGAGGCTGGGGAGAATTAAGTGGTATTGTTTATGCTAGAACTGGATCAGTTCTTGAGACCACATTTGTTGGTGAAGAAGAGGGTGCACAAGTAAAATTAATAGCAGGTGTAATGGTTGGTTTTGTTGTACTATCAGTAGTAGCAATTATTGCTACTGTTCTATTCTTACGCTTACGTTCCGATGATGAATGTGACAAAAAACAACCAAGTGATTGTAATGCATTAAACTACCGTAATGGAGAAGTTTACACTGGACCTGATAGACCAGCGAAAACGAGTAGTAACGCTACAACGCCACTCTTCGCTGGAACTGGCTCTAGAACATACATAGATCCTCACACATATGAAGATCCTAACCAAGCAGTACGTGAATTTGCTCGAGAAATAGATGCATCTTGTATTACCATAGAAGCAATTATTGGTGGAGGTGAATTTGGAGATGTATGTAGAGGAAAACTTAAACTACCAGCTAGTTGTGGACAAGAAATTGATGTCGCCATCAAAACTCTTAAACCTGGATCTACAGAGAGAGCCAGGAGAGATTTCCTAGCTGAAGCTTCTATTATGGGGCAGTTCGAACATCCAAATGTAATATTCTTGCAAGGTGTTGTTACCAAATGTAATCCAATAATGATTATAACAGAATTTATGGAAAATGGATCTTTAGATACATTTTTACGGGCCAACGATGGTAAATTCAGAGTTTTACAGTTAGTAGGCATGCTACGGGGCATTGCCACTGGAATGCAATATTTGTCCGAAATGAATTACATTCACCGCGATCTCGCTGCGCGTAATGTTCTTGTGAATTCCCAACTTGTGTGCAAAATTGCTGATTTCGGCTTATCACGTGAAATCGAGTCAACTGCTGATGGAGCGTACACGACGCGGGGTGGCAAGATACCAGTCCGCTGGACTGCACCGGAGGCTATTGCATTTAGAAAGTTCACATCTGCCAGTGATGTGTGGTCTATGGGCATAGTTTGTTGGGAAGTCATGAGCTTCGGCGAGCGTCCATATTGGAATTGGAGCAATCAAGATGTTATAAAATCTATAGAAAAAGGATATCGCCTTCCAGCACCAATGGATTGTCCAGAAGCAGTATATCAGCTAATGCTAGATTGTTGGCAAAAAGAACGTACTCACCGACCCACTTTTGCCAGTATCGTTAAAACTTTAGATAAGCTTATACGATGCCCAGACACATTAAGAAAAATAGCACAGAATCGCTCAGCAGATCCTCTCGCGGGTGATACACCTGACTTGATTCAATTCTCTTCTGTGGAAGAATGGTTAGAGTGCATCAAAATGTCCCGATACGTGGAAAAGTTTAGAGCTGCTGGTATAACCGACATGAACGCCGTTGTCGATCTCACGGTCCACCAGCTTGCGTCTTTAGGTGTGACACTAGTTGGGCATCAAAAGAAGATAATGAACAGTGTTCAAAGTATGCGTGCTCAAATACGCGTTAGTGGCCCATATGGTTTTCTTGTGTAATAAAGTGTTTAGAGTTCTTAGTGTCTGTGAGAAGAAAACCTTTGGATGTTGATCTCTGATAAAAAGTGATTCGAATACAGTGATTAATATTAATAAAATGATGCATTTTGTATATTTTTCTAAAAAGGACTGTCATAAAATTTAGACTAACTTCGTCATAGTGTTGTCTGAAGATAGATTTTAAGAAAAATTATTGTCGAGACATGCTTTTTATAGTTGGACTTTACTTTGTTTTATCATTTTTACTTTTAAGAGAAATTGCAATTAAATGTTATTATCAATCATATAAAGGCAGTCTTAACAGTGTTTAAAACTATAAACAATAGCTTTATTATACTACCGTCTTCAGGTATCATACAACGAAATAAAGGCCATGCTTAAGTTTTAAGTGAAAGAAATATATTTATTATGTTCTAACACATTTTAATCATAAAATAATTCCAGTTAAAAATATTGAAAATAATGATTCAATTAAAATATGTATTATATACTTAACTAGCACAATTATTTTCAGCTGGTCTTGTACATTATTTATGTTAGTAAAAGTAAAAATGTCGATTAGTTTTACTTCAGTCAAAATTTTGATATGCAATAGATGATAAATGAATGCAAATGAGAATAGAAAATATAGTTTAAGAGTAACACCTTTTTATAGAAACATTCCGACTAACAATTGTATTTTTTTTCTAAGAATATATATCGTAGGTAGCTAAATTTGCTGTAATAATTTTGATATAATTGTGTTTTTAAAAGTTTAAATTTTTAAATATTAAGGTTAAAGTATTTTTAGCATAAGAAGTATAATAAGTACTCAAGTCTATGCCAGTCATATAAATTTATTTATCCAAAATTCAATTTTTATATGGGTATACTACAATTGTGATCGGACTCAAGTACTTAAATAACATATAGACTTGCCACTACCGCATTTATTTAAATTTTAGTTTTAAAGATTTTGGCAGTAGTAAAAATAGTTAATTCACTACTTTGTGGTACACGATAAGATAGCTAGTGTAAATCCTATCCTTGTTCTGATGTCGATGTGGTAGATGTTGAGTGGTTCAAATGTTTGATTATGGCTGTGTAGTAAGTACATGGTGAATTAATCTTTTCATGTATCATAGAGATTTTTTTTAAATTCATAGTAAAACTGGAAGTGTTAACATTTTAAACGATTCACGTCATTTGCTTTTGTGATGTACCAACTGCTTTTTACATATAGGAATGTTCTTATTTAGAACTTTTAAAAATTTATAGTATAACCTAGGATAAATAAATAATACTGCCAATATAGTTATAAGAGCTTTTTTATTATTCCCAGCTTGTGAAGGTCATGGGTGCGATTACTTACTTATGACTCTAATGCTATGCGAGATTAGTAAAATTATATTAAAAGGTATATGAATGCTGAGCGATTTATAAGAAACAACAGTGGCGCTGTATGCGAATTTGTACTATAAGATTTATAAGTTTCAAATTCTTTTGCTATACCTACGTTATTTTAAGAATTTCGATAGTTTTGAAATGACTTTTTTTAAAGACAAAAGTGGCCTTTCTTCCAATACTCCAAATATTTGTATAATATAAAATCAGTTATACAACTATAGGCCTAGAAAGTTGATTTTATTAGCACATTTTTTGAATTGTGCAACAGCTATATTGTTGCATCTTCACATGTTTTATAGGTCTGGTTAGGCCCTTATATATGAATATAATAAAATTAAGTATTATTACACCATTTCGACTGAGAAAGTAGTAAAACATTTTTATTTGTAAAGTCATCGCTTTTAAAGCTCTCCTTTAAATTCAAGACTATATAATTTCTAAGACTTATTGCTTTTTAGTCAAGTAATTTTATATTTTTCTATGAAATTTAGAACTTATGTGTATGCGATATTTAAGATTACTTATTCAACGAACACGTTATGTATTAAATTTCTTCGAAGACTAACAATCCATACAAATAATATAATGCGGCTTATAATCATTCGCAACCTTACACCAACCGAGCGATCGAACAAATTATGACAATACAAGACTGGAAGCTTTATTGGATTGTACTTTTTAGACTATAATTCGTATCGCGGCCATAAATTAAACCCTTCAATCCCTGTAATATCGAATAACACGCGATTTCGACTTATTTTTATTGTTTTCAGACGTTCGACCTTAAAGTTTCAAGGTGTTCCTTATATTAAAACTATATGATTTTCATAAGAGGTTTATATCCATTCATTCTCATTATATTAAATTTTGTAACCAGTCGAACTTCTTATAAACTTGATATTCATTTTAGGAATTCCGGAAACAGGTACGAAACCTATACCTAACATACCACCTGGCATTAGGTCTTCTCACGAAGTAACCATGTCTTAATACGTTTTGTGCCATCTGCCGTGACGTGAAAAAGGGGCTATTTCAGAGGGTTAATGTACTCCATTCTTAAAGCAATTTTCTACTTAAACGGATCGACAAAATTATGTAATGATGTATGTAACTTCTAATACAGAGTATCGCAAATCTTATCTAGCTTGAAATTCCATAAGGAATCCTGGCTACATGTAGAATATAATGTGACATAAATTTCGCAGTTTCTTGGCATCTCAGATGTTTTTGCGTTTGTTTGCGAAAAGTCTTATCAAAATACAAGTTTCAAAAAAACTTCTTTCTGTACACTAAAAACTATTGTTCCGTCTGATAAGTTGCAGCTTGTTCTTGCCAAAGTTTGCCTTCTTGCTTTGTTGTCTGCCTATTTCCACGTATATGTAATACGTACAAAAAAATATTTATATTTTTTTAAATTTCTACGACAACACTTGTATTTAGTTACAACACAAAATATTATATTTTCAAAATAGTTTCGTATCAATCCCTATTACATAAAAGTTTCATTAAATTACCCAAAGTGGCGTTTCCTACAGTTTTTGTTATAAGAATGTGGCTCTCAAGTTATTTTACTGCTATTACATACCTACTTGGTAACATGTGAATATATAGTAGAAATATACCTAGATTTAAAAAAAAATCATAAGTTGACTGCAAAACAAAAAATTATGACTACGTCTCTCGTTCATTGAACATCAAAATATTTTATTTTGATTTCTTTCTGCAAAAGCTGTTTTTGGCTATTTTGTTAAAAAGAATCATCGGTTATTTTTTGTTCTTTAATGTGTCTTCCAAGGGCTATTGAATATAGTAGCCCAAAGTATGAACCACTTACAAGTATTCCGATTTTTATTTGATTCCCAAATGTATTTTACAATCTTAGAAGTTGAGCGAGTTGCAATAGTCAATTTATAAATATTACAATTAAGAAATACGTTCAATTATTATCATATGCTTCACTAACGTTTACTCTCACATTTCCTAGCTTTGACAGTTGTTGATATTAATACGTGAAATGTACCTTTAAACAATTTACAAAATCGGTCCTATAACACCAATTATCATATCCATTAATCAAAGTAGAAATAATATTTATATTGATATTAATAGTAATAATAGGTCGAAATCATATTATTTATGACCTCGATTTATTTTTTAAAATTAGAAAGAGGATACGATTTTTGATACACTGGACAAAGAAAATTAGCTATTTATTAAAAAATTTGTGTCCAGTAATGTAATTGGTTCTTAGTGTAATGTAAAGTACATATTTATTTTTCATTAACATAGTGATATTAGGTAATATACCTATATATATGTATGTAAATGTATTTGTTTGACATTCACACCATATTAAATTGAACAATTTCGTTGTGTTTTTGTCAGTGTTTCACTTTTTTTTGTTTATATATGTTTTAAGATTTAGATATCGTTATTAAATATCTATATAATTGTACATTGTGTCTCCGATAATAATAAACTCTACGCCTAAAGCAATAAATTCGCCTCTCTTAGAAGGTTTTAAGACACATCTGTACAATAATAAATTTAATGTTATGTATATTTGTAGCGTCTTTCCTCATCGTTTCCTTTAAAAATTTGAATAGTTATTTCTTCATGATAACTTATAAGATAAGGTTTTTAAAATCCCACCATCGACAATTACAATTTTTTTTTGTAAAGATATAGGTACGTCCTTTTTACTTTAGGTAGAACTCGAGCGGTCGGTCGATGGGGAAAGAAAGCACTTTACATGTGATACTTTTAAGAATTAAAGCCATATTCAGATCTTAATGAAATTTTAGTATGTAAAATTGCTTACGCAAAAGATGTCGTAGAGCTAATAATAATTGTCATTTATTAAATTGAATAGTTGAACTGTAGTAACACCAATCATAGCCTAATAACTTGTAATTCATAGAGTGATCTTAGTTTAATAATAATGATAAGTTTTTTTTTATAAATATAGTGCTACAGCAGGGACACTTAAGTCAACCCATCATAGAACTTACATTGTGTAATGCCTGTCATATTTTGGAATGGTAAAAACGGTTAAAGTACGTTTTAAGTATGCGAATTCTATTATTATTGTAAAATAATACCATGCAACGGATTCAACGTTTGTAACATTGTCCCTGCGTAGTTACAGATGGTTATAATATAACTTAGGCAGTTTAAATTTTTAAATCAGATTAGATACAATCAATGAAAATGTAAGCTTGGCTATAATTTATGTAATAAATATTGATACTTATAACAGGTGTTGTTATTTATTATTAAGTACCCTATGATGTTGGTATAATTTTAATTGAAACATAAAAAGGATATGTGCTATTTTATAATAACAATGTAATATGCACTTCTATTTTAATTGCAAAGTCGTATGATAAAATTATAATGTCAAGAGGACTTGACAAGATGGCGCATCGCGCAAACACATTCTTTTAGTTCATGCTAAGCAAAATGAGTCATTTTTTATTACAAAATGCAAACGAGTTTATGTTACGTTTGATTATATTTTTAAGATTCTTTCAACTTATAAGGTTAAGTGAATGTCATACTTTGCTTTGAAAACAGAGTAAAAATGAATTTTTGTACTTCTGAAAAAAATA